CAACAGCTGGACTACCTTGGTATAGTCCTGTCCTATGGGAACTTTGAAGAACTGAGCTGGAGACGTCGAATGGGAGTTGCTCGCGCTAGCTTTGACAGAATATGCAAGATTCTTCTTGGGCACCATGTGTTGTCTTTGCCGCACAGGATCAAGCTGTGGAAAACCATTGTTCTGCCCTCGGCATGCTATGGTCTGTTAGGCATTGGATGGAGCCCATCAGGCTTTGCTCGTATGCATGGTATGTGTATGAAGCAGCTTCGACTTATTGCCAGATCTCCTGTTCATCTGACTTCTGAGACTAATGTCAGTTTGATGCAGAGACTAGGTATGCAAGAGCTGGGTGCCCACTTTGAGTCAATGACTACCACAGCCCTGGCCTATCACACGCAGCTGTCGGATGATTTGAGTTCCAATGATGTTATGTGCAGGTCTATCTATGTGACGTGGTACAAACAACTGCTGCTTGACATACAGACTCATCGATCAATGTCGGTGTCAGAACTCGCGAAGTTGGATGTGGCTGTTATTCCCTCGCACGCGTGTGAGTTTTGTGATCAAACGTTTGACAATGTTCGTAGCCTTCGTATTCACCAGAAAAAGTCACATCGAGATGATTTGCCGGAGGACTGGAACCGCAGCCAGGTCACGCCTGAAACAGTGCGAATGCATGCAGCTGATGGTATGCCCACCTGTGCTTACTGTCTGTTTAAGTTTGCTAACTGGCAGAACTTGTATGAACATCTGCTGCAATCTCGGTGCAAAATTTTGGCTGAACATGCCACGAACGCAGAGCTACCTGGTACTGGTGTATCAGCGGTGCGGCCCTGGGTGCAGAACTCGGATATCCTTCATGCTGTACGCACTTCTGGACTTGGTGCTTTGCGACGTTGATCTACTTCACTTCAGGAACTTCAGCATCATTGCTGTTTGTGCAGGCAGTGGTTTGTACATCCAGATTATGCTGCTTCGCATTACAAGAAAACCCATCGTGCTTTGTGGGAGGCCCTTGGTAATCGAGTTCGTGCTCTGGTCAGGCCCACCAGTTTGAATGCAGCTTGCTTGTACTGCGGTAAAGTGCCGTCGCGAAAGGCCAAACACAGATGTTCAGTCCTTACACAGGCTTATTTTGCGCTTCTCGTGGATGGGCGATCCGGGAATTGCCCCACCGACGAGAGCCGAGACCAGCTACTTCCTGAATCTCTTCCCTCGACCTCTACAGATGCAGAAAGAACAAGCCGAGCCGATGGACACCAAGGACCAGCCAAAACGCGGGACATTCGAGGATACTTCGTCTCGGGAGGAGAGCCTCCCCAAGGCCATGAAAGGGGAGCCTCACGAGGACACAGCCAAACCCAAGGATCCAGTGGGGGACATGGCCTCGGCTTCACAGCAACCAGTCCATACCAGTCCGGGTTCCAGTGGTGAACATGGCCACGCCACCATCGACGACAGCATCACCAGCCGGTTCGTTGACCCCACAGCAGCAGCTGCCTCCGAATGCAGCTACCTCAACACCGTCGGGGAAGGGCAAGGCCAAGCAGGGCAAGCAGGGCAAAGGCCAAGGCAAAGGTCAGAAGGGGGGCGCCGCACCCTCTCAGACTACTTCGGGTTCCAGTCACCAGGACAACGTCATCTCAGCGATGGGGCGCCTGTGTTTGCGCCACGAAGACGCGATTGCCGCGACGCACAACTTCTTGGCGGTCACAGAGGGCGAGTTCCTGCATGTTTGGCCCTGATTGTGTGTGCGTGTGTGTGTGTGTGTGTGTGTGTAGTCCAGATGAGGAAGGAGAACCCCACCCCCCCCGCACAACAGGACTGGGTTTCCTTCTCTTCTGCCTCTGGAAACCGTGTGTGCTGTCCTGTTAAGGGCACACACACACACGCACACTTATGGACCACTTTTACTCCGCCTTGCTTGTGTGGAACAGGTGCGGCTCTCTTTTCGTATGTGCTGTCCTGGAAAGGAAGTGCTCTATGTCCTTGTCCCCGTGTGGGGGTGCTGCCTTGCGTGTCCTCTTCTCTACTTCGTTTCCCCCGCCCATCGCCCCTGGTTTGTGCCACGAACGGGACAACCCGCTTCCGCGGTCTGTGGTTTGGTGTCTGTGTGCGAGAACCCCCGCCCGCCCTCCCCTTGTGGTCCAGGCCCTTGTATTTGAGACCCATACCATTGGGGGGGGGAGGGGGGGGGGGGCGCAGGACGCACAGCGCACAACCACATATATGTATGTATATATATATATACATACATATATTTTTTTCCTGTATATATCATACCGTATATATGTATAGATGATGTTTTCGGTGTGTTTTGGGAGGTTGCGTAGAGGGTTTACATTGCCAGCTGCCAAAGGCCGAGAAGCCCATGAAGCCCGAGCCGAAGCCATGCCATGCACGTATGCTCACATGCACTGCAGATACAGCACATATTCCGATATCTTGGATACAGCTCCTCTCCCCTCCCCACATCGAACGGGGTGTCGGACCCACCCGAAATAGGTCCAGACCTATTTCCAGCATACCCTGCAGGGTCCCCCGCCCTACCCCCCCCCCGATAGGGACGCGGAATGTTGAGCGAGTCAGTGAAGCAAGTGAGGGAGAGAGTGAGTGTAGGGGTGTGTGAGTCAGCGAGTAGAATGAGAGAATAGAGGCTGTGTGGGAGTGAGTGAGTGGCGGAGTGAGCGGAGGGAGGGAGCGAGCGAGCGCAGCGAGTGCATGATCGAGTGACTAAGTGAGGGAGTGAGTGGCGTGAGTGAATGAGTGTGAGTGAGTGAGTGAGTGAGTGAGTGAGTGAGTGGGTGAATGATGCGGATGAGTGACTGGTGAGTGGGTGAGAGTGAGAGCCAGAGCAATCGATAAGTGAAGTGAGTCCATCGTTCCTATGTTCAGATGCTCGCAGTGAGGTCTATACCGCCCCCGCCAACGGATGGGTCTTTGCCGTGACCTCGCTCGACGAGGCCAGGGCACGAGCCGGCTCTACTAATACTAATAACAGTATGAATATGAATACCAATATTAATAATTAATACTAATGATACTAATATTAATACTAATACGAATGCAAATATAAATACAATTAGTCCTTGCTAGTGGCCATGTTGCTGCGACTCAGGCTCGCCGTGGCTGGCTGCCTGAAGACGTGGCGGGGGAGCTTGCGGGGGGCATGTACGTGTACCGGGCTCAGCTTCACCCCACTTCATGTCAGCTCCCACCCACCGCCCAAATCTCTCCCTGCCTGCCTGCCTGTCTGACTCCCTCCTTTGGGAGTTTGGGGAGGGCGTCGGGACATGGCTTTTGCACGGTTCGAAAACAGGAGACTTTTGTGTGTTTCACTCCAAGCCGGCCGCTATTCGCTTGTGTGGCGGAGCGATCTTTCATTGTGCACTGGCTCACAGATCTTACTGCGAAAAGCCCGATGGTTCCTTGTGGGCTGGCGTTGCCATCTCACAGATCTTACTGCAAAAAAGCCCGATGGTTCGTTTTGGGCTGGCGTTGCCATCTGACAGATCTTACTTACTGCAAAAGCCCAATCTTTTGATGTGCGCTGGCGTTGCCATCTCACAGATCTTACTGCGAAATCCGATCTTTCACTGTGCACTGGCGTTGGTTGCCATCTCACATGCGTACGGTCGGCTCGGTTCGGTTTCGGTTTTACAAACGGTTCGGTTCATCGGTTCGGTTCGGTTCGGTTTGCGGTTCGTGCGGTTCGCAAAAGAGACCACGCGGTTCGTATGGATTCGGGACAAGGGCTGCGCAAGGCCCAAGGAATCCCCCGAAGCTCCGCCGTCGCCCGTCTCACACGCCCGAGCCCTTCTGGGGATGTTGCGGGTTCAATCCCGGGGGTGTTTTTCCCCCGTTGCCCCAAACAAACTACCACAACCCGAAACCACCAGGCCTAGGCTCACCAAGGCCCAAGTAAAGCACCCGAAAAAGGTACTCTTTTTTGGGTTTGAGACACTTGCAAAACCCGACAACAGGTACCTTTTTCTGTTTGGAGTTTGGAGCGGCCACACAGCACCACCATCACCGTCACCGCCGTAACCACCATCAGACTGCTGCCGCTGCACTGACATAGCATTTTCCCAGCGTGGCAGCGGCTCAGGCGCGTCCACACAAGCTGGGAGGACCCGGCCAGGCTCTGCTCCGTCGAGGCGGACGACGTCTGTGTGGTCTGGGATGGCCACCGCAACTGCTTCGACAGTGGTGTTCATCTCAGACAAGACGAGCGTGTGTCAGTTTGAGCCGCAGGAACGAGGTTTGGTTGCCAAAGCCAAGGCTGGACCTACGTCCATTTCGTTGATTCCCCCGGTGAGGGGTACATCCCGGACCACCACATAGCAATTTGGCTGCACGGTGGAGCAGCTTCCAACACACAGTGTGAGATGGAAAACCACAGCGACCGCAGTGAGGCATGGCTCTGACGATTGACAAGGGCACGGGCACAGGCGCAATATCCGGTTGGTCACATGTCCATAGGGTTTGGGGTTGAGCTGAGGCTTTGCAGAGGCCTTTCGGGGTTTCGGGTAGGATAAATAGGCTATCCGGCTTCCAGGAACATGCTTCCTCCCAGAGGTACCGGCTTGTTGCTTAGTGAGGGGGCGGGTTTATTCCAAAAGCGGCAGGTCAACCGCCATCGCTTAAAGAGGAGGCGAGTTTTAATAAATTTGATCAACCGCCGTAGCCGAATGAGATATGCGACCAACAGCCGCTTTTGCCAAGTGAGGGGGCGGGCTTTAGACTTGCGATCAGCCGAAATCGCATAATGAGGGGGCGGGTTTCAGCCAAAAAGACGGACAGCTGTCCCTCCAAATCCCTAAACCCCCCAAACCCTAAATTCCGGGGTTAGACACGGATGGAAAGGAGGCTCCGCTGCAGGACGCGCTGGAGTGGGAGGAGGAGCAGGCACGCTGCTTTTCTGTTGCTGTCCTTTGTTGTGCAGCCAGATTCTGCCAGTTCGCCATGTGGAGTATGCGTGCGCTCAAAGCCTCTTGCAGTATGTTGCCATGTGTGTCATCTCCAAGCGCGAGGAGAGTGCTACTGTGTGCATCATCACTTTCGAGAGCGGTTCTGATCGTGTGTTGCTGTCAGGCCCAGAAAAATGCTGCCCAGGAAGCTCAGACAGAAGCGCCAAAGCCAGCTCCTTTGAAGGCAGCAGAGGATAAATCCCGAGCAAGCTTCTTGTGGCCCTCCGTCCTCCCGATTGGTGAGTTCTTGCCTTCTGGTGGAAGCTCCCGACAAGCCCGGCGAGCTGGAGAAGGCCGAGGATTGGAGCGAGAGGGACATGGAGACTCTGAAATGCAAGCTCCGCGACTGCAGATGCCAGCAGCCCGATCACCCAAAGAGTGGCTGCGGTTTTTCTTGGATCGGGAATTCTCAGGCGCTGATGAAAGACTTCTGGCTCTGCGGGGCGGCCATCCCGGTGCTCGACTTGGACACAGAACTTGTGTTGCCTGGTGAACGCAGGTCCACCACAGAGGCCAGCTTGCTCATGCTTCTGGGAATTCCGAACCCTCACGGCCAGAGAATATCAGCTGCGCATGGTCTCAACTGTGTCATTCGCTTGTGGTGGTCCTCCCGTTCTTCCGACATGCAAGAAGATGGTGCCTCCGCTTGGGTTGCGAACTGCCTGTACCACCACGTATATCCCCTGCTCGGCCAAGAGCAACAGGCAGAACCGACGACGGCACTTTGTCCCGACACATCGCGGAGCCTCTCATCCGCTGGTCAGAACAGGCTGGAGCCGTACAGGCCGTTCGGAGCCAGTGCCAAAGTGCGCTGTGGGATCTGCGCCTTGATGCCTTGCGAGAGTCAACTGCCGCACAGTCTCGAAAGCTTCTGAACCTCCCTCCATCTAGTCTTCGACGGAGCTCTTGTCCTTCACGGCTTCGGTGCGGCCCCTGACGCCTATAGTTGAGGGCCGAGGCAAGCAGCATCAAGCAGTTCACGAGTACCTTAGCAGTGGGAAAGGATTCAAATCATGCGATGTGGCTCGCAGTGTTTCCGAAGAGTTCAAGTCTGCAAATTTGGCCCGACATGCGGAGGTGAACCCCGCCCTTGTACTGTCCTGCCTGCGCGAAGACACTCGCTCCAGCTTGGATACCCTGACCGCGATAGAACTCTTGGGCTACGTCCAGAGCGAAGAGCTTCCGGCAGAAGTGGTGTCAGCACTTCAAGGCTTGAAGTTGGCGCCTCTTTGCAGTGGGTACTTGTAGCATCTTTCAGCACCGGCATGCCGCTGTACTGCGCCTTTCCCACCGGATCGGCTTCCGGTTCCAGTGGGCCCAGCAGGACTTGCAGCTCCTGCCAGCTCTAGCTCCGACATTTGTCACGAAGACGGAGTTGCCCAAGATTGGGTGCTAGTGCTCCCGGGCTAGGCTTTCAAAATGTGAGAACTTCGGAGCAGTTGGCCACGGCTCTAATCGCCGGCTTTCCGCCAATCCGTGCCCCAGCTTTGGAATTTTCATCACTGCAAGCGGCAATCGACAACCGATTGGGAGGCCAGGCGCCATCAGCCTGAAAGATACTACTCGTATTGGGCCCACAGAATGCCTTGGCTGGCCGGAGAGTCACAGCCGAGCCGTGGGCTTGGGATTTGGCAGATGGGTCCCACGCCGCTTAATCACCCGGCAAGTAGCTTATGGAGTTGTACAGATCTGCCCGAAGTGGCCAGGGTGCTTTTGCCAGACAGGTTCCCACGGGCCTCAAGCGGCGGGAGGTGCAGACCTCCGGTATGTCTGTGCCGATCCGCCCAGGTCAACGCCAGCCACCCGGCGATGGCCTACAGGCCCGTGCTGCGCGGCACATGACGTCCATGGCTCCAGGACTCCGGGAGCCTTCAATTCCCAGCCGCCTCCTGCCTTTTCGGACGAGGCAAGGGGAGTTCGGGCAGTCAGTTTGGGCACTGATGTGCCATGCCAGGTGTTGACGGTGCTTGCTGCCTGGGGATCATCTTTGGAGCAGCGGGGTTCTTTGAGTCTTCGGTGTCAACGGTTGCGACCTCAACAACGGCACCACCTCTGTGGGAGCCTCAGCTTGAGACAACGCACGCTTGGACACTGCAAGCCAGTGCCTCTCTGCAAGGCTCAGAATTATGCACCGCTCTGCGCGACCCGATCGCTCCTTCGGATGCGAGGACGACAGTTGAGAACAGAGCCGTCGCAGGCGCCTAAGGTGAAGGGAGGCTTGCAAGACGTCGCCTCAGGGCCTCAGGATGTGAACCACCCTCTGCGCTCTGCGAGGTTTGTCGGCTTCCGATCTTCCTCGCTGAATCCAAGGTGAGGAGGAGCAGGCTCAGGCACGCCCTCCCTCCTTTTCAGGGCCGCTCCAAAAGCCAGATCTGAAACCCTCGAAGGACTGCATGCTGATCCTGTGCCCCGTCAGCCCTGGACCCTGAAAGCTATGCCGCTACACTCTCAGCCTTGAACCCTAAAGCCAGAAAAAAAAAACCTTAACCCCAAACCCCAAACCTTGCAGGCCTTCCGCTCCCTGGTGCATTTGGCCGTCGTGGAAGGCGAACTTTTGCAGCTCCACTCCCTGCCGGTGAGGCGCCGGTCACACATCCTAAATAAGGTTGAGGGTCCTTTAAGGCCTGATTAGATACGGCTCAGGGTTTATTTGGGTTTAGGCTCGAACGTGCCCCCTCATTTGGCGATCCCGGTTGATCATATTTCTTAAACCCCTCATTTGGCGATCTAGGTTGATCATATATCTTAAACTCGCCCCCTCCTTTGGCGATCCCGATTGATCACATAAGGCCTCCCTGTAACCCGAATCCCACAGCCGAGACCCCGCTGCATCCATTTGCCAGCGTCTCCTCGTCACATCTACACAATGTCATGATATGTCCTTTTTCTCTCTTGCTTGGCTTGCAGATCCGGATCTCAACTCCACCATCTCCTTAGCCTTCGGACGCGACTGTGTCAAAGTCCAGCTGCCAGGCGCATTGATGAACTCTTGCTGCAGAACTCTTTTGGACTTTAGACCAGAGCCAGGCGCTGGTGGCTTCGAGGATTCTTCCCCAGCGAAGAGGTGTGCAGCCTAAGGGTCAAGCAGTGTCCTATTCTTTAGAATATCTTGTGCAGCGCGGTACGAGTTGTTTTTGTTCAGCATACAGTTCGCAAGGCTTGTGCATCAAGGTGCTATCAGTCTCGAACCTTCACTTGGAAGACACCTGTAAGTCCGCTTGGATTTCCGAGCGCAGGACTGCGTCCTACGTGAAGAGCTGGTCGCCGGCTCAGTGCCGGATAGTGTTGCATGTACTTTCATTGCGCCTTAGGCAAGAGACATCGTGTTTCAAGAACTGCGCATTTGCAAGGGAGGTTGTGCTGCTTGAGGAAAGACCGCAAACGATGGCTCCAGTGCAGACACCGGATACCTAAGTCAACCGCACTCGGTGAATCTAGCAGATGCCTGCTGAGGATTGCAGCCTTGTCTCTCTGGTGCCAGCGCTAGTTGTCTTCAACTGCTGGCCACAGCAGCAGGCTGAGTTGGAGGGCTTGACTGTTCGGGGCAGGTGATATGTCGCTTCTGAGAAGCAAGTGTTTATCTGTTGTGACCTTGCTCATATCCAGTGCATGAGTTTCGCCGTGCGAGCAAGCCTCTTCTTCCCAAATCCACTGACTCTGCGAGGTTGGTTTTGTATGGTGTGGGCAGGCTGGTCTGCCCGGCATGGTGCACTGGTATGCAAACCGAATCTTCCAAGCAAGCGTGAATGCGCCAGCCAAGACGTGCACATTCTGGGAAAGGCATCTGCAAGCAAACTGACAGGCGCCTGCCCAAGCCGAGTGGCTCAGCGCTACTTGGCTCGCACCGTGAGCCACCCAGCCGGTGCAACAAATCATTGCCCAGTCACATGGCGGCTGTTTTAGCATGTTCTAGAGGCTCATTATCAACGGCAAAAGCATACACAATTGTGGTCGACGAACTTGAAGCAATACAACTGAATAACCCTTGTTGGCATGCGTGGTGTCATGTCCAAAGCCTCGGCCAACCCGTGCAGTACCGACCACGCACGGATGCATCAACCGCTCACGCAACACCTGCCCGCTTGTGCCTCCCACATGCTGGTGCGACTTCTGCCTGCTTTTCGTTTTGCGCTATCCGGGGCAGGCAAAGCCCTGCGCGTCCCCATGGAGCTAGGCGAGGAAAGTGCAGAGCTCGGGCATGATTTCAATGCGGCCAAAACAAGGCGCACTGCTCGTGTGTTCTGTCTGAGGCAGCCGCAGTCTGCTGCTCCCGGTCAGAGACGCCGCGCCCGAGCGGCCAAAGCTACAGGCAGCAAAGATTCGTTGGCAGTCACGCCGGTCCTTGACATGCTTACAAACTGCTGACATGTTCTGTGCTCGAAGCAATCGCATTCGCCGTCCTCATAACTTGCGCAAGAAAGGGACTAATTGCCCCTCGTCGCACAACCCCATGTTTGGACAGGTCCTGGTCAATTCACAGCGTGACGAGCTGCTGATTTCGCCTCCCTTCGCAGTGGGTCGTGCTGCTGCAGGCTTCCCGACAGATTCCGAACGGATGTTTGCTCCCTCATGGTATTGCTTCCATGCACAATGCCGCGAGTGACTCGATTGAACCAGCCCAGGTTTATGTCTGCAAGTGTGTGCAGGCTGCAGTGCCGCCATGTCACTGCCGTCCTGTGCTCGCCCGGAGCTATGCCGGGTGACCATCGACGAGGCTTTCATGGAAGCAGCATGTCCTGCCAAATCGATCGCAATTAGAAGTCGTAGGAACGCTCGGCTCACAGTTGTCAAATGCCCTTGGCTGGCGCAGCAGGCCTTTGGGGCTGTCGCTGTATCCGTGGCCGACCGAGATCGCTGCCGCCGGCTGCCCTGTGAGGAGGGTTTGGAGGCCAGACTTTCTGGGATGACCCACCGTATCATGCGAACAATGGAACGAAGCTGGTCTTCGCAACGCATAGAACATAGATGGAACATTGTGCCACAGCCATTTATCACGAAGTGCTACAAGATTTTCAATGAGTCTTGAGTCCAGGTGAAGTTGGTTTTGGATGCTGTGGGTTGCAGTTGTCTTGTACAGCAGAATAACAAGCTGAACACAACTGATCAGCCTTGAGGCCNNGTGCTTGATAAACAATTGATGAGTGGTTGCGCGATGGATTACCAAGTGTGTACCAGGTAGTTGCAAGCTGGTCTTGTATTCGTTTACCGTGCTACCTGCGGCGGGGTCAGCCCGTGCGAGTACCTGCCAGGTTTGAAACGATAAAGGCAGGGATACATTGATCGGTGCCCGAAGGGGTGAGGGATCAAAAAAAATAAATTCTGATCCAAAAAAATTAAACCACAAAGATCAAACAAAAATTAAAAACAGTATCAAAAAAATAACGCAGTAGGAATGCAACAAAGCTTGGGAAAAATCTCGGGGTTACGGATCAAAAAAAATTAAATCAGGATCAAAAAAAAATTAAACGGGGATCAGTAATAGTCGTAGTAGTACTGTAGTAGCAGTAC